TTTTACGTAGCCCGGCTGCTCGAGGTGTTTTTTTTTTTGTTTTTTTTTCTTGTGCTGGTTTACCGTGTGTGTGTGTGAGTGTGTGTGTGTCTCCATATGAGTTCAACACAGTATGTCACCTGTAGACCATGAAAAACATCCAGTCTGCACTGTAGTATTCATTATCCAGTATGCTGACAGTACATTTGACATACATTTGAAATGTCTGTCAGTCATTGTTGCATGTGTGTAAACATGTGAGAAAGGTCAGAAGTGGCTTCTAAATAATCCCTGTGTTGATGATAAAATATTAGTGATAACAAGGAAGGACAGGAAGAGTCAGTCTTATAATGGAAAGCTTTCACTGCATAATTAATTAAATAGAACTCGATGAAACAAAGCAGTGGGATATAAAACAACATGTTATTCTTCATTGTAGGACCTATTATCTCATTCATAGAGGAATTTAACTCAAAGGGAGCAAATACAGTTTTGTGAGGTGATGGAAAGTGAATTGGCAATGGCCAAACTGATGAGGTGAATTGTCAGAAAATCAAAATGAATCAGTGAAAGCACAAACGGGTACAGGTTCATCTTAGGTTTATATGACAATCACAGTTGAGATCAAAGAGTTCCAAAAAGGCCCAGCAATCTTTAGTTTGGGAATGGCTACTACATTGTATAAGGTAGATTTTAAAATCTAAATCTAACCCTTAAAGGATAATTCTAGTTAATTTCAACCTAGCTTACATCCCAGTAATTTGGCTCAATGGCTCATGCTAACTTTACCTTGTCAACTCCATTGTAGAGGTGGCAATGTGAGAAGTTGCACAAGAATAATTACACAAGAAGTCATCAAAGTTGTTTCTTTACATTGTGTTGATGACTATAACTGATTTTTAGAAACTGTTTTAAATTACAGACATTTAAATCATTTTAAATGTCTCCTTTCAATTTTTCAGATGCACAGGTGCCAACTTAACCTGAGAATTCATGGCCCATTAAGCCATTTCAATAGGAAACACACCATGTTAATCATTACATAATCAACCTGGTGTATTTCCCACACTGGTGTGCAGGGTTGCTTAGGAGTCTACTCTGTATCAGCTGTGATACAGTGTGTTTCTTTGTGTTTCAGATCCATGTATGTTAGATTCAGTCTGTGCACATGTATGTGCTATTATTCAAGTGTATTGCCATATTCCAGCAGAATCCCAAATTCCCTGATAATGGGATTGTGAGTAAATATTTTTTTCAGCAGTTTGCTCATATTTTGTTCTAAAAAAGTTGATTTCTATCAAAAGATTGAATGTAAAAAGATAATCCTGATTTTGTGCAACTTGGGCAGTTTGCTGATGTTAAGAATAATGTATTACTGAATGACTACTTGGAGTATAAATCTAGGAAATATTTTATAGGTAATAAGTCTTAGTTTCCAGGTACAATACTGTTACCAGACGAGTTATTGAGAATTAAATAGTTCTCTCGCTCGCTCGCTCTCAGTTACATTTGTATAGAACTTCTAAAGTTATTTTTGATGGTTTGTTTTTTCTGGAATGCTGCCAGTATTGGGTATATTGGGACTCCATTGAATTTAACACTTTCAGTAATTTCTTAAGAAATAAAGTCAATTCTGTTCTGAACATGTTAATTTTGATTGCTTTTTCTTTTCATACACAGCATATGACATGACGTGAGATCGCTGACATGAGGTTTTTATACTGACATAGTGCAAATAAAGATCAAATAAAGCAGTTTGCTTGAAACAACAACTTGGAACCTGAACACAACATTCCCCCAACATTTTCAGTTTCTAGTGTGGTAGTTGTCAACTCTAGCCTAAACATGCCTGACGGTGTTCTCTGGATAAATCCCGTACTCCACCTGAATCTTGGCCAGAGCTCAGTGTTTTACTGTAGTTAAACAGAAGATGGCAGCATCTGTGTTGTAATGAGCGGAATTTTAGCAGGAGACAACTGTATCAATCTGTTAGGAATATATGCAGACACCAGTATATGTTAGGGCAGCTAAAGGAAACCGAATTGGATAAGCAGAAGACGAATGGAGGGAGGGAGCTGTGTAATGAGATGCATGCAGGTGATAAGAATCAAAGACAATGAGGCAAGTAAAACTGAAGGCAAGATACTGGAGACAGGTATCTACTTGTTGCACTGACCTAGTAGGTGTGGCTGTTACTCTTCTCTTCCTCCTCTTGCCCACTACCTGCTCTGTGCTGCTGCTTGCGCGTGGCCGCTGATTAGACCTTGTGCAATCTACAACTAAGCGCGGCCTGGTGCGCGCTGCTCCGCCAGGTGAGCTGAATTAAAGCAATCAAGGGCTGGCGTGCCTAGTAGACCTTAAAATGCATGCAGCAGTCATTTGACCCGGGTGCGACATACTGAGAGGACAGCAAACAAAGCACAATCCACTTTCCACCGTGAGGAAGACTTTGAGCTAGACGGGCTATCGTAAGTTCGGACTCCTATTTGCTGCTTATATGTTTAGGAACTATGGAAGCTCAATTGTGGGAAAAAAAATGTTCATGCCTTTTTAATCTGTCATTTATTAAAATTCTCTCTCTCTCTCGATCATATTAAACATCAGGTTCCCATAAGGAGAATCATGTGCTAACGGCTGTCTAAATGACTCGGGTAAAGTTTGTAGCATGTGTGCTTGTTGTTTTGTCTGCTTTCACTTGTCTTTGCACTAGGATGATGTCGGAGTAAATGTGCAGTCATATTAATTGTCTTCCCACTAGTGCTGTCAGCGTTAATCTGAAATGATGTTAACGCCACAATACGGCAAATCTCTGTTAACGAGCTACCTCGGCTCGTCCTGTGCGTGGGGCTGGACAGCAAACTGTGCTAACGCACTAGTTCCCACCCATGTAATTGAGCATTGCGTGGCACATCCGACATACTGTTTTACTTTTATCCATTACGCACTTACCTTCAGGGTTATACTTCACATGAAAACAAGATAGTTCCAAAGGCCAGATCTGAATGAGGGTGGGGGAGGTTCAATTTGCCATTGACTGTAGATGACGTGACCCCGCCTCCTACCATTGTGCAAAAATGAAGCCAAAATACCCCGCTTGTGGAGGCTGCCATCTTGCAAATTTGGAGCCAGAGTCTGCGCAGTAGTGACTTGAGGTGGAGCGACTGTGTAACGCTCCCGCCCACACACCCGCTGGACGTGACCGCAAACACGACCCCCTACACTTTTTACGTAGCCCGGCTGCTCGAGGTGTTTTTTTTTTTTTTTTTTTTTCTTGTGCTGGTTTACCCCGACTGACGACTCGTTTAAGGTAAATACAACCATGTCACTGTTATAAAAAAGACACAAAGCTTATCTTATAGTTCTAAAATCACTCTGTTGTTAATTCGTTAGTTAGATTAGCCGCTAGCATACGCACTGTGTTGGAGGCTTGTTGCTAGCTAGTTAGCGATGCTACACACCTGCTACTCTTAATAGTCTTCAACACTTATGTTTTTATCCACTTTTAGATAGCGATGAGATCAGCTGCACACTCTACAGAGGCCCAGAGTTACTGTTAATATCAAAAATATAATGCTGTCCTTTGAGATTTTAACTAAGACTGAGTGTAATGGATCTAAAACTGTTTAAATCTCTACAGCCTGGTAACATGGATACTTTGAAAACATCAGCAGAACGTTTCTAGTGTAGTCTAATTTGTTTTTTCATTTAATAATAGAGTCCATATTATATCAACAGCTACATTTACCCTGGAGATAAACTAGTGAGGGAGACAATCAGGACTAAGCTGGGTTTCCTGGATCCAGAGGTTTGGAGAAACTTCTTCCCTTTCTTTCATCACAGCTGTCCTGTGCCATAAGTTCTGTTAACCTGCTGTAAGAGGCATCATTTAAGAAACACCAGGAAGACTGAAGCTCATGGCAGTGATCAAGCAGGACTATGATCTTCACCAGCATCTCCCTCACAGGGAAATCTTCAGCACTCCTCCATAGGCCCGCCCCAGGAGATGGATAAACCCAGCATTTCATGAACACTGTGATGGAGACCTTTGCTTTGTGTAATGTTATAAATACTCAGATACTCCCCAGAGGCTCCAGACTTTTACATAAAGATATTATATTCAGTCCTGTAGGAAGTTATATATTTAAAAATATGTGATCCTTTCTGGTTACTCTGGTATGAATAACTCTGAATCACTTTTTGGTAAATAACACTATCTGCAAAAAACTGAAAGAATTCCAGATGACAAGTTTGTAGTTCAACATACAAGTGACGACCTTTGACCTTCATCAGGTTTTATTTAATTGTGTAAGACAAAATCTCATGCTCTTCATGCAGCTGAGTACATCAAGTGTTTAAAACGGAAGCTGTGCAGGTCTGAGATCAGCAGCTTTGTGAAACACCAAACTGAGGTCCTGTTAATGCTGATATATAGTGACACAGTTACATGAGTGATTAATCCTTTTGTTGTTTTTGTCTTTAACTTTATCAATAAAACCGCTTTCACTACAGCACGTGTGGTACTTTAACCTTTGTACTGTTTTCATCAGTTCATTTTGCAGTTAACATGTGAACATGTTGGATGATCTGTCTGCTGTCACTCGATGGTGCTGAGGTCTGAATCTGAGGGCAGCTCCTGTAATCACAAAGACAACAGAACCATCAAACTCGGGGGGGATATATATAGATAGATATCTATCCCCCTCAAAATTGAAATAAAGCTGATTCTTCTGTCCTCACACACTCAGGATCTGAAGTTCTTCTCTTACTTTTTTCAGTATCACAGTACACTACAGTACTTTAGTCCATAGTTCCTGGTTAATGAGGAGTTACTAAAGTACAAGCTTTAAAAAAAAAAAAATAAAAAAAAATGTTACTGTCTTTACAGATGTGGCAAGAGACTGAAAACATGCTGTTTGCACATATTTAATATTAAGCTCAGCACAGGAGCTGAAGCAGGGTGCAGCCTGTTGCTTTTATAGTATAATACTTGTAATAAAAGTACAGTAATTGGTGACTGAGCAGCCCGGGGCGTTTCTCTTGATTTCTTCAGTAAATTCATTCACCTGTACAGCTAAACGAACCCTGACAGCCGAGTGCTCATCTTAGCTAGCTTGGTCTCAGGACCTAGCTAAGGACGGTAGTTACAGATTGGCTTACAAACACGTTTAACTTACCGAAAAAGTGCAGCGGGGCCTCGGGTCCTTCTGTCGGGTAGTCCAGTTTACTGAAGAACACCTCAGGCTGTCAGGTTAAAACACTCGGTCGTGTTTTCGTAGCGTAAACGCTGGGCGTCCTCTCAGACCCAACGCTCTATCTGCTATTCGCGAACAGAGATACGCAAGTTTCTCCGTGACTGCAGCTGTCTTTTTTTTCTTTTCAAACCTTTATTTAAACATCAGTACAATACAAAATGGAATTAAATAGTACCACAATAATGGTGTTGTACTTACAAAAGAATTGTATGCATAGAAAAACATACAAGAACAGTATTCAGAAACAACAATATAAATATGCTAGGGGGAAAGTAACTGATCAAGCCAAAGAATAAAGTGATTGAAAGATCTTGTTTTTTTTTGTTTTGTTTTTTTTTTCCACAAACACCAATAGTTTTTATAGCTTTTGGGTTAGTGGAGTTCTTAATTGAGTTAAGATACTGTACAAGTTCAAAGGAGAATACATAAAAAGAGGGATGTCTTCCTAAACATTTGGACTTATGAATATGAAATTTAGCCATTAAAATTAACAAGTTAATCATATATCTGTTATGAAAGTTGAATTGTTTTTGGTTTTTGTGCAGACCAAACAAAACATATTTCCAAAACAGTACAAATCCTTTAAATATATTTTCTGAAATAAAAATTAGGCAGAGAGCATATTTTTTCCATTTCCCCTGTAACAAAATTGCAGCAGTGTGGTTTCTGATGACATAAAGAAAGAAGGTCCACCTCTAGCTGCATAAAGGAAGCTGCTCACACACAGGACTGTCACTCAACCTGCAGTGCAACAAGTGACACGAATTACTTAAAACGCTCGCAAAACCTGGACAGAACTTTAAAAAAAACCAAAACAACCCAATTCAGCAATTTACTTTGCAACGATGTGTGATTTTGATCTCTCTCAAGCTCTGGACTGGTAAGTACAAGAAGTTCTATTCAGTTAAATTTATTTAAAATTTAAGCCGAAAGCTAATGCTTTTACTAAAACTATCATGTTAAGTAAAATTCTAAATGTTTTATGCTTTTGATCTCAAACCAGTAGCTAAGGGTGGAGTTTCCCAAAAGCATTTGCAATTATAGAGTTACATCCTGGGTTATTGTTTGTGAAAAGGGAACAGCTCCAGTCTGGCAGCATTTCGCAGTTTCGTTTCCCATTCCCTCACTGTAATCATATTGTACTTACATTCTGTGTCTAAATACATTGCTTGACAAAGCATGGTGTTCACATTACAACAGACATTTGTGTATATAGGTATGTAGGCTGATATTGATAATTATATACACTTATACGTGTTTTTATTCCATTCAGTGTCTTAAAAATGTTTCATTTCATATTTCAGCTCACCTGAAGAAGGAATTGAATCTGCTTGCTTTGACATGAAGGTAAGATTTTTCCCTTCCATAACTTTTTCATCTAATATCTTTACACTGTCACACACACATACATTTAATTTAAATGGAGTTTTTAAACAAATTTTACTATTTCATGAAAAATATCATCTTATTTTGAATTTGATGCCAGTAAAATGTTCCAAAAAAATTTGGGTCAAGGGAAACAAAAGGCTAAAAACGTGTGGCAGGGTGTGGTCTGTAGCACTGCATCTAGCTGAAACACCGAAACTGCATCAGCTCATCACACTTCCCCTGCATTCAAGTTTTGCTGGGTCCTGACTGTGTTGTTGTTGTTGGTGTGTATGTTCGGCTGCAAGCTAAAAAGCTGCAGCCATGTCTGTAAAACAGCAACCGTGAATAAAGTACGCTGAAAAGCATGAACCAGTCAGTGGTTGTTTGTTACAGTAAGTAGCAGTAAGTAATGCAAAAGCAATTCAAACATATCACCATTTTCTCTGGACCATGGCTCATTTCAAATGGACTGAGGTTTGCCAGTGTTGTAGATGGAAGGCGGACCCAAAGCAGCACGTCACAGATGTAAGGTAGCTTCATTGCCAAACTCTTAAAAAGATGCAAAAGTTCAAATCAGGGGTAAAAAAAAAAATCAAACAACCAAGACTCTTTGAGGAAACATACTACTAGAAGGGTCAACAGCATTATATATTATATAGAGCATTTTATTAGTGCTTATTTCAAAAGCCGGCATCTCTGATGGTATGTGAGCATGTTAATGTCTATGGAATTGGCTTGACTGACTTGAACATCTGCAAAGATACCATCAGTGTTAAAAGCTATACACAGGTTTTAAAGCAACATATGCTCCTATCCATTTTCAGAGAAGGTGAGATATTGTACTGCCATCAAATTCAAAATGACCATATTTTTTCCTTAAGAAAGTACATTTTCTCAGTTAATTCTCAAAATGAAATATTGGTTTATGAGAGTTGCAAAACTTTACATTCAACACATCACATTCTTTTGGGCAGTGTCTAACCTTTTGGGCATTGTTTTGTACTTGCAAGAAAAATAGTGTACAAAAAAGTGTACATAGGCAACAATATATCTAAGTGAGATGTACAGAATAACATTTTTTTATGGAGCAATGTTGAGGTTACGTAACTTGTCCTGAGCAGCAATTTTTTTTTTTCTTTTTGTCCCACTATAAACTTTGTATGGCATGGATGAGAAGAAGCAGCAGAAGTCTGACTTCTTGTTTTTCTGCTTTGTATTATGCAGGAGGTTGAAAGTGAGATCTTCAGACTTAATGAGGGTTTGGAGTTGATGGTTTCCCACAACAGAAGGACCATGAAGAGTGTGGCTCTTCTAGTGCTGGGGGTAAACAGGATGAAAAAGCCACTTACTCAAAGTGACAGGAAGCTCAGTGATGATGATGTCATGAACATCATAGACAGTGTAGTGAAAGGTAAGTAATAATATTGTTATACAGTAAAAAAGAAATCATCTTATGGCTTGTATAATAAAAATAAAACCTCACAGTTACCACACTGCTGTGAAGAAATACAAAATTTCTGCTGTTTAGCCCTTTTAATTGTATTTCTCTTGTTTGGGTACACGATATTGTGGGCAACCATATAAGTAAACTGATGTCTATATTTAGGCACTGTAAAAATGAGACAGTGCTGCCATCACCAGGTCAAATTGGAGATTACTAAATCTGCCCTATATACAGTTATCATACAAACTGCTGTTATTAAAAAAATTGCATCAAAAACACGTTTTAAATAAAAAACTAGTACAAAAAATGCTTTATTTTCATATTCCCATTGAAAATTAAAAGCCACAATTTAATAAATATAATTCTATCATTTAACACGGCTCTTATTATCTTTGTGGTTTTTTTCCCCCTCATTTGCTTGTTCGCAAAAGAACAATAATTAAAATAAGTCAGACATTATTGTTTGCCCAATAATTTTGTAGCAGTATCTGGCTTAAGCATACTGATCACATCATACTGATGTGATTACTGATGTATTTTTTTCTTTACTGAGACCAAGCTGGAGCAGCTCATTTACTATATTAATATGTCAAACATCAATGACAGCTATCAATTTATAATTGAAACTAAAGTGCAATTATGCTTAAGCTGGGTGTGTGTGTGTGTGGGGGGTTTTTTTTTTCTTCCTTTTTTTTTTTTAGAAAAACAGAAACTGCTGTTTGTCTAGCTTTAGGTGAATAGAAATTTTTGTTGTTTTTCCTTGTTCTGTTTCCTCTGTCTCTTTAGAAACTGTTTGGACTCCCAGCCAAGGAACAAAACGAAGGGACTTCCTGCGTGCCAACAGTGAGAAAGCATTGACACTGTGTGACAACTCTCAGAAAGATCTTGTCCTGTCAGGAGAGTTACAGCTGCAGGCCATCACTCTGCAAGGGGGAAATTGCCACCGCAAAGGTACAAATCGGACACAAAATCATTTACATAAGCAGGTATATTAACGTACTGGTACTAAACTTGAGTATTTCAGGTTCATGCCGCTTTATAGTCCTACTCCGCTGAATTTCAGAGATATTATATCTGATGACCCTCAGCTTCAAGGTTGGAAATGTGACATCAGTTTTAACAATCTAATAAAGTTAACCCCCATAAAGAACAGCTGTGTTTACTTCATTAAGTAAAAGCAGGTGTTTGAATGTAAGACTTGTAGTTGGAGCAAGTATGTTTAACCTGTTGGACTTTAGGTAGAGAGTGTTATCCATCCGTCCATCACTACCAAGTAAAAACAAATGGCCATTCTGCACAACTTCAGTCTTCCAGCTACACATGAGCTCCTGTTCTTACTTTTTTTGTTTCCTTACCTTAGTGAATTTTAAAATGTCCCGGTACATCCCTTTCTCCGTCCCTCTTGGTGACTCTCCTTGTCTGATTGTCGTCCTGTCTATCAACAACAACCTGTACATGTCTTGCCGCATGGAAGATAATAAAGTTGTGCTGTTTCTGGAGGTAAATATAAATTCACATGATACAATCTCATTTTATTTCTTTTTAGAAGTATTAAATAGACAAATTCTCCTTGCCTCCAGCCTCCCGTCTTACCCTGTCCTATAATTTTTATCTGAAAATTATAATGGGGATTTAATAGGTCCAATATTTTACTTTTTATGTCATACTTTAAGTTGATGTTTATAGGTTTTTACTACTAGTATTATAACTTATACAGGAGACAGTATAAAAAATTTGGTTTAAAATTATTTACTCTGAGTAGTTTTCCAATAACTTTGACTTACTATGTCTGAACATAGCTCACATACCTCTTTACTGCAAAATGTGGATATTTTTCCTAATGATTATGTCCCAGTTTTAAGTTTCCATAAACATTTTTCTTTTTCATTGGGACAAAATGTGTTTCCATGCATGCAAAAATGACTGGGAAACGTTTTCTTTTCATCTCTTTCTGCCAGCAATACCATGATGACATTTTAACCGACAGAGACATGGACCGATTTCTCTTCTACAGGAAAACCACTGGAATTTCTCTAACCACTTTTGAGTCTGTCAAGTTCCGCGGCTGGTACATCAGCACTTCACAACAGGAAAACCAGCCCGTTGAACTGTGTAAGGTGGATGCTGCCAGCCGCCTTACAAGCTTCAGAGTAAACTAAAAGATGTTGTAGGACCCACGCATCTGCATGATTTTTGACATAATCACTAGATGAAGCAATTTTATATAGTAATGCCTGAGTCTGTAGTGGCAGTGTTCTGTACTTATTGAAGTAGAAAAGCTTATGATCCAGTGTAACCTATCAAAAGCACTATTACTTTATAATACATTTACTTACAACATACAAAACATAGAAACAAACAAACAAACTGGAAAACACATGCCTTCTTTGTTGGAGAAAATTATAACAGGATATTCCTTAAAACTACTGATATATTTTCTTTTTTTCTAAAAAGCTATTATCTTTAAGTTTATGCTATTGCTGTGGCTTTTTAGTGTGAATGCTTGAAAAGCATTCACAGTATTGTTCTTCTAATCTTTATTCTATTTTATTATTATAGATTCCGTACTTTTTTTGTACTCTATCTCCTTCAAAACCATTAAACTTAGAAAAACCATTCAAACACCGTTAGATTCCTCGTCTTTTGGACATGACTGCTTCTATTTTTCTCATTTTTAACATTTATATTTTTAATTTTATTCAACTTTTTTCAACAAAAATTTCCCATGTATTTCAATGGGGAGACCCTTTAAATCCTCATTCAACTTACTCATTTTTAAACTCTTACTACTTCCACATACGTTGACATAAGAGCCACCATTCAAACTTTAAAACGAAGACAAGACATTCAACTTGTATTTATCTTTTCAATATCTATTATACTTTTTCTTCAGTTCCAGTTTAAGTTTCATGATGTTTTTTCAGCCGTTTCAGAGTTTATAATGGGTGTGTATGGGACTGAATGTTGGGGCTAGAGTGAGACAGCTCAACTGCTAGAGTGAGAGGGGGGGAATTAATCTAAAATCTTTTTTAAAAACTGCTGCTGTGTCTGCAGCGTTTGCTCTATAGGTATGATTTCACCCTCAAAACGTAGCCATCGCTGTCCTCTTTCATCCAATGTGTTTACTATTGTACTAGGTGTTATGGTTCTTTCATAAATGTCACCAATGCACAGCCTCCTCCCTCCAACTCTTCCATAGACTCTAATGTTAAAATGGCTCAGAAAGTTTGTCTGAAAAGTTTGCCAAGATTCATCTTAAACCAGTGGTTCTTAACCTGGGTTCGATTGAACCCTAGGGGTTCGGTGAGTCGGTCTCAGGGGTTCGGCAGAGCCTCCACCGTGACATGCACGGCTCATTTTGTGCACCAATATCCCATATCTATGTCTTGAATTTGAAAAAAAAATCATATTTTATTTTTTACTATAGAAGGGTTCAGTGAATGCGCATATGAAACTGGTGGGGTTCGGTACCTCCAAGGTTAAGAACCACTGTCTTAAACACTTCTCTTTCAACTGCTGCTGTGTCCAGTGTTTGCTCGACAGCCATCATTTTATCCTCAAAACGTCGCCATTGTTGTTCTCTTTCCAACACCGTGTCTTTCAAAGCTCAGAGATGTAAACCTTTAAAACTGTGTGGATCCAAGTGGAGTTCAGCTATTTTCCAACTTCTTCTGTGTGGTTGCCAGCTTTTAGCAGTTCAGCACTTTTGTTTTCAGGTGAAAATTTCTGTATTTTTCATCTCATTCAACATTTTTAACTGAAAATTCAGCAATTAATTCATTTCAGTGCATACATTTAGATGCAAGCATTCACACTGCAGTTTCTTCAGAAAATGCACTTTCTAGTTAGCCATTAATGTTCTGATTTCAGTCTTCTGCAGTTTTTTTTGTACACAGACCTTTAGAGGTTAAGCTTTTCCTTTTCTGATATCAGCTGGTGTTGTGGGTTAAAAAAAAACCTGTTATATATTTATTTTTTGAATTTCCTCCTTGTTAGCTTGTATTTTGTATTGTTTTAAAACCTCTTTTTGTGAAGAGCCTATATATCTTTAAGAACTTGTAATGTGTCTTCTCTAACCAGTGTAAGGATTTTCAGTATCATATTAAAACAAACCAAGAGGGCAGTTTCAACTGGTTGATCCAATTATCTGAGAACAAAAAGTAAAATTAATTAACTGTTTGGTAAGAAAATGGGTTGTCAGAGCCTACTTTGGGAATCTGAAAATAAATAATTCCCTAATCTGCTGTACTTCCTACCTACAGATCTTCCTACAAATCTTGGGATATAATTTGGGAAATTACTCTTCATCAGCAATCTTTTCACTTGAGCATTGTTGTAAAAGCCACATTGTGACCTTACATTAATGCATTTTCATGTCATAGCTGTTGTAAGCTTTAGGACCAAGTGATAACTGCTACATCTTATTACCTGTGAATTACAAATACATTCATTTCTTGGAGAAATGTTGTTTTTGCATTTATTCAGGATTTATTCAAGACACATGTCTACAGGAGCCTTTTCTTCAGCACTATGTAAATCTCAAGTGAAGGAAAGAAAAGCATTGCATATGATTGACAGTGTTTTTGTTTTTTTTTTAATATAAATTAGGTTTTGTGAAATTATATATACTGATTTTGATTTATTTGTGTTTTGTTGCACTATATCTTACATTTGGTGCCTAAAATCTTGTAACTGAAATGAAACAACCTTATTAAGTGACCAACGCATTTCGGCTAACTGCCTTCATCAGAGTCATTGTAAAATGTGCGAGGCTTGTGAAATGGGACGGTCTAGCCTCGGTCGCACTGCCCAGGTTGCCTAGCAACCATGATACATGTGTCATACAGCTTTGTTTGACAGAAATCCCTCATTTCTGTCAAACAAAGCTGTATGACTCGTATTTTGTTCATTTGTTTCTACGTGAGCTCTGTGTGATTTAATGACCACAGGACTGTAAAACATGATTGTTGGGCTTCATTTCTGTGCTGAACAGTCATTTTAAGATTAGCTAGTAAATAACAATTAGCTTTGAATATAATATGGCCAATATTATAGTTATTATATTAATTATTAGTTATTACAGCAGTGAGCGTGAACTCTGTCTCAAAGATTCAAGTTGCATTTATTTATATGTCCTATCACCTTAAATCTTCACTCAAAGACAAGTATCTTTGACAGTGCATATATAGATGTATTATATATAAGAGACAAATATTGTTCTTTTAATATGTTGGCATTACTAAATTTGGCTCAATGCTTACATAATGTGTAAAAAGAAAATGTACGAGCTGTGATAACTGTTGATGGATACATTCTATCAGAGTATACCGATAGAACTGAAACATTTATTTTTAGGTCCATTTTGCTGCTGATACATACTTTAGGTTTCTGAATATTAAACTTGTTTCTGTCTTTCATAGTGTTTAACTTGAAGGCCCCGAGTATTTTCTCCCACACTGAGAACACTGGAATGATAAAATTATTTGAACATTACCTAATAAGACTGGTTCAGGACAGACAATTAGTTATTTTAAACTTTTCTAGCAGTCCTTCACAATCAGGGAACAGTCTTTCTATTCTCTCAGTCTGTCAGCTGCTGCTGGCTCTTCCTCCCCCTCTTCCTCACAAACTGCTGAGTTTGTCCTGGTGGATCATCAGGGGTGCAAAGTCTCACAGATGATGTGCAGCAGTGGGTCCCTCAGTCTGTCCTCACTCTGGACACTTGCAGTTGTCACACATGGAAATTAAATTTTGTTGCTTTAATTAATTTATTATTAACAATATAAAATTATGCACAAAACGAATTACTAATGTGAAAAAAAGTGGTTTTATTTCTATATGTTTATATATAAATATATGCGGTGGCCCCTAGAGACGAACCACATTAAACTCCAAAAAGCACCTACAAACTCTAAAACACATTTCTGGCTTTAACTGAACTTCCAAAACAAAGATCAATTGAAAGCATATGTGTATTGTTTGTGTATTTATACACAAGCACTCATATATATTCAAATTTGTACAAAGTTGTACAAAAACGTTTTATTTTGTCAAGACAGTGCGTTTCTTACGATTACATGCATTTGAATGGGGAATTCGCCCGAAACAAAGTACAGGTTTTATTATGTGAATAACTTGAAGATCTTAGCTCAAGCAGCTTCAAAACCTGTTTGCCCAGCACGGGGATATTGAATTCTATAAGATAAAGCCATAAATATGTGTGTCTGAGTCTTCTATCAAAGCTATTTATATGAAGATGTGCAAAAACGCTTTCTTTCGCCAAGACAGTGCATTTCTCACTGTTACATGTGCCGATATCATGCACATTTCACCAGGGCCTGTGTTCATGGCTGAGGCCAACTACATTTCACCAGGGCGTCTGTTGATTGCTGAGGCCATCTACAATACACAAGGGCCTGTTCTACTGGCTGATGCCCTCCACATTACAGCAGGGCCTGTGCTACTGGCTAAGGCCACCTACATTTCCCCAAGGCGTATGTTGATAGCTGAGGCCATCTACATTTCAGCAGGGCCTGTGTTGCTGGCTGATGCCATCCACAATACACAAGGGCCTGTGTTTCTGGCTGATGCCATCCACACTACACCACGGCCAGTGCTCCCTGTGAGGCCATCTTCACCACACCAGGGCCTGTGGTTTCTGGCTGAGGCCATCCACATTACACCAGGGCCTGTGATGCTAGCCAATACCAAACACATTTCACCAGGGTCTGTGCTTCCTGCTGTGACCATCTTTACCACACCAGGGCCTGTGTTCATGGCTGAGGCCACCTACATTTCACCAGGGCGTATGTTGATTGCTGAGGCCATCCACATTACACCAGTACCAGTGATTACTGTGAGGCCATCCACATTACACCAGGGCCAGTGATTCCTGTGAGGCCATCTTCACAAGACCAGGGCCTGTGCCACTGGCTGAGGCCAACTACATTTCACCAGGGTGTATACTTTTGCACTCAAAATAGATTTTGGTTGAAACAAGATATTATTTTACCTGTATTTATAAAAAAATAAAAAAAAATAAAAAAATACATCCATAACAGATTCTATTTTTTAGATTTAGGCACCACTGTTCTTTATTAAAGTGATTTCTGTCAGTTTACAAAATAAGCCTTTATATTGCCTTAAAATTATCCCTTAAATAAAGTCAGTAAGCAGTTTTCTGACAAACTTGAACAGTTCACTGGATTTTAAGTGACTCAATTTGACTCTCAGACACAATTGTGTTTGTTTATGTAATTACTGTAAAAAAAAACAAAAAAACAACCTATTGTTTATATTCACATTTACATTTCAAAAGGGCCTGTGTTGGTGGCTGATGCCATCCACATTACACCCGGGCCAGTGGTGTTGGCTTGGGCCAGTGGTGTTGGCTTAGGCCATCCACGTTACACCAATTCAATTCAATTCAATTTTATTTATATAGCGCCAAATCACAACAAAAGTCGCCTCAAGGCGCTTAAATGGCACCACTGCCAGTGCTTCCTGTGAGGTCATCTTCACCACACCAGGGCCTGTTCTTCTGGTTGAGGCCATCTTCACCAGATCACGGCCTGTGCTGCTGGCTGATACCATCCACATTTCACCAGGGCCTGCGTTGCTGGCTCATGCTGTCCACATTACACAAGGGCCTGTGCTACTGGCTGATGCCAACTACATTACACCAGGGCCTGTGGTGCTGGTCAATACCATCCACATTTCACCAGGGCCAGTGTTGTTAGATGAGGCCATCCACATTATAACAGGGCCTGTGCCACTGGCTGAGATCATCTACATTTCAAAAGGGCTTGTGTTGCTGGCTTATACCATCCACA